GGGCGGCCCAGGGTCTGGCACAGGAGCGCCCCGGCTCCTCGGCGCAGGGGGAAGAACAGGAGCGGAGCAGCTACGGGCAAATGCAGAGAGCCCCAGCTTCCCGGGGGAGGGCCCAGCAGGCGTGCGGGTGGGTGGACGGCTCCCCAAGCTGGTGGGCCAAGCGGAAGGCCAGGGGCCCTGCTACGGCCCCGCAGCAAACAGAGGCTGAGCAGAGGTCGGGCTGGATGAACGTGGCTAGTCGTCACAGGCCCGTTGGAACTGACGGCTCTGGGGCGCCTCTCCCCCCGTGCACGTCCTCCTTGTGCTCCCCCAGGCTGCCCCGCTCCTCCGGCTGCCCCCCCGGCGCTGGAGTGTGAGCCACGCAGCTCGGAAGGGGGGGGCACACTCCTCAGCCCTCCGTATACCCCTCTTGCCCAGCCCCTGCCTGGCCTCTCTCCAGGGCGCTTCACCTTGCCACATGCGCCCCGCAGGGTAACTCTCCCGCCAGGACTCTCCTGCTGCCTGGGGAAGAGCTGGTCTGGCAACCCCCCACCGGAGACCCAGCACACACGGGCAACCCAAGGGCTTGTGCCGGCTTCCTGAGCAACGGGCGCTGCAGCAGCGTCATTGGCTCCACCTGCCTGGGGCAGGAAGCGACCGTGGGAAGCTCTGCTGCTGGGAGTGATTTGCTGGTGCCGTTTCGCTCCTGGCAGCTGCCCTGGTCCATGCGCAGGTCTATGGGCGTGAGGCCCTGCTGCCGCTGCAGCGCCCGTTGGCGAGCGGGGTATAAATGCCCGGAGACAGCAGCTGGGATGCAGGTAGGCAGCTCGGAACTTACATTTCTCACAGGCGCCATCCTCTTGCAAGCCGGGGCCCTGCCAGCTCTGGGAATAGCTCCCTGCTGGCTTTTGCCGCAGCTCAGCCAGCTCCTCCCAAAGAGCAGCAAAGCGCCCTCCCTCCCTGGGGGCTTGCGACGCTCACGTGTGCACCGGAGCCCCAGGCACGCCCCGGCGGGAGCAGGGCACGGGGCGCGCTCTTGAGCACCGAGAAGCCTGCCCCTGCCAGCGTGTCTGAGGCCCCGTGGGAAGGGGGCTTGGCCGGCTAAGGACCGCTGGTCCATAGCAGCCATTCCGGCTGAGACAGGATCAGACCTCCAGAGAGGACAGGACCGGCTCATCTGGGTCTGTGACCAGTGAACAGACACGGGCTGGGAGCTGAGTCCATGGGGGGGGTGTTGTAGCCTCCCCAGGCATTGAAATTTGGGCGGGGTGTTCGAATGTACAGAAGGGTGTCACGGCCGATGAGGGGTGAGACCGTGAGGATGAAGGTGGGCTGTATGGCATCATAGTTCACAAAACTGGGAGGGTGTTGGGGAAATTCAGGGGGGGTATACACTGCCACGGGGGGGGTGTAAGGAAATCCCTCCTCGGGGTTCCCTCTGTGGATCTTTGCGGCACACTCGTACTCCCCACCTGGAGACAAGCAGACCCTTCCCACAGCCCAGTGAGGGACAGATGCACCCCGCGAGGCATGAACAGGGCATCCTTGGCTCTTGGAGGAATTCCCGCGGGGTTAACAAACCAGCCTTTTTTCGGGGTGGAAAAACAGACTGTGTGTGTGTGGTGAGTGTGTGTGGTGTGCGGTGATTGTGTTTCTGGTGTGTGTGGGGGGGGGATGTGCATGCGGGTGGGGGGTGTTTCTGTGGTGAATAGTAAACTCTTTGCGATGTGAACATTTATTAAACTGGGCAAAGAACCAAGGGCTGGCTGCGTGGTACAAAAACCTTCCCCCCGCCACATGGACAGCAGAGCTGGAAAGGACTGGGGGGACGTGCAAACACAAAGCAAATAAGAACACAGGAGGCGTGTGTCAGAGGGAAACATTGGCACGTTGGTAACAGGCTTCGGCAGACAGGCCGTGATTTGCAGTTTTATAAAAAATCCCGGGGAAATAGGTTGCTGGGGGGACGGGTCCCAGGAAGAAAACTAAAATCGGTAACTGACCAGTGAGGAGTCTTCGGTAGCAGGTGCAGAGAGGTCCTGTGAAATTAGCCCCGCCCTTGTCTCTTCGTCCTGAGACCTAGGGCAAACAGCACCCCCGTTAGAAAGGGGACTCGGGTATTTTCTGTGGAGCAAGAGGCACGCAATGGGCGGTGAAATGGCTGGCCCGGAATGACTGGTGTTGTTTGGAAGCTGATGCTTTGGAGAGCGGGTGTTTCTCAGGGGGTTGCTCCAGATCTGGACTCCTCGGGTCTCTCCTGGGATTTACAAACACCCTGCACGGTGCGAGGGCTGCCAGGCAAAATGCTGGAGGCCCCCAAAACCCCGGCCCTGCAGCCTCTGGCCTCGCAAGAGCCTCCCACTCCGCTCACAAAGTCTAGAGGAGTCACTTCACCCACGGCTGAAATGCGGCTGCCTCTGGGGTGGGACATGGCAGCTGTTTAATGGGCCACAGCAAGACTCAAGAATAAGGTTATTAAAAAAGGGAATCTCTTCTGCCATTTGCGCGGCCCAGAGAAGTGAGCCAGCAGGCTGTAATGACCCAGGCTGGGTTTTAGTGAGGGCAGCGATCCATGACCCCCCCATTCCTGACCCCCAGAGCAGCCTCTCCCTGGTCCTCAGCACTGCTCCCCCCTTCCACCACCCAATCCCCCAGCGCTGGCCCCTCCTACCACCAACACCCTAACCCTGACCCCTCAACATAGATCCCCCTTTCAGCCAAAACTGGTGCCCCCTTCTCTGTCCAAACCCCACGCTGACCCTCTTTCTGCCCCCAAGAACCTGACTAAGCTGATGCCAAGGTGGTAGAGAATATCCCCTCACCTGAGAAGGGCCAGCAACCCCATGGAGTCCACTGGGGGCTTTGCTGTTGTCATTGACTGGACACAGGAAGCGCCCAGATACCAGGGTGAGGGGAGGCCCTGGGGCGGGCAGAGGGGCCTGAGACTGGTGGGCACTCAGCTCCAGCCCAGCTTCTGAGATGGGCAGGGAAGAAGGTGCTGCCGTGTGACTGACCGCCGCAGGGGCCTGCCTGCTGTGGCCCCGATCCAGCAGAAGCTCCGCTGGCCAGCCCCACGGATGGCCGGGGCAGAATTCCCATGGAGCGGAGCCACTCAGAACAGCTTCCCCTCGGAGCTGGGCCTTGGCAGCTCATGCCCCGAGGGACCAGAGCGGGGCCCTACGGCTTGGTAGGGGCCAGCACCAACGGCTGCAAAGGCCCCCGGCCCAGCTTTGCAACCAGTGAGCTGCCGGCGGGGCGGCCGGGCTGCGCTTCTGGAGTCATTTACCAAGCGCCGTTCCTCTCCAAATGCGCCCGGAACTGCCTGGTGCATCGGCCGCCCGGCAGCCGCCGGCCCCCCAGCCAGCACTCCCCCGTTGGGCGCTAGGAAGCGAACCAACCCTGGGCTTTGCTTCCACGGGTAGAACCGCTAGCAGGCCAGGACCCCCACTGGCCCTGCCTCTCCAGTCTGTCATAACAGGGGCTGTGAGACTCCCCCGGCCTGCAGGGGCGCAGAGCCCTGCCCCACAGGCCCGAAGGGCAGGTCGGGGTGTCCCTGTCACTGTGCTGCAAAAGGCAGGAGCTCGCCACTTACCCCGGCTCTTCCAAAGCCCCTGGATGGACGTCGTACTGGGGGGCGACGGTCCGGGTCGCTTTGCGCTGCGCGGCCTCCTCTTGGGGCGTCCGTGTCCCTAGCAACTCCAGCTGGAAAGGGAGGGGGGCTGCTTACAGGTTGCAGATTTGCAAATGGCAGAAGGCCCCCGGACTCGGCGGAGGGCTGCGGGCGAAGGGTGGAGGGAGAGCCGAGGGCGGGGGGAGGCTGGAGGCAGCTCTGCCAAAGGGTGTCCGGGGGGGAGTCCACCTTGGGAGACCCACCAGGCTGGCGGAGGGTCTCCGGAGGGAAGCAGGGAAGCCCTGTTGTTTGGGTGATTTATAACCGGAGAGGCTAAAGCACCAGGGACTGTGCCCAGCTGGGCAAGGGATCTGCCCTGCCTTCCCTGTGCAGGCTCGCCAGCCCTTTCCGCCTGTTCCCGGCATTTCAGCTGCCGCGTTCCCCGGTTCAATGCCCGGAGCCGATGCCCCGCCAGGCCCGGGCCTCGCTCACCGTGGTCGGCCTCTGCAGCGCGGTGAAGCGCTCCGCCCACGTGGCGGTGGACTTCTCGAAGGCGTTGTGCCTTTTCAGCAGCTTCTCGACGCCGTCCACCGTGTGGCCGTAGTCGCCGCTGGCCAGGTACGGCTCCTGGGGGATCAGCCAGGCCTCGGCCACCGAGGCGTCCCTGGAGAACTGGCACACTTCCAGCACTGCCGCGAGAGAGTGGGGAGGCGGGTTACATGCTGGAGGGGTGGGAGTGCCGGGGCTGGCTCCACCATGCAGGAGGGGATGCCCTGGCGTGCCCTGCACTCTGCAGAGATCAGAGCATGAGCATCACCTGCCCGATGGACTGGGGAGGAGGGAGACTCCCAGCAGGGAGTTTTCAGGATCTGGGTGCCCAGGGCGGCAGGACACCCCCACCCCTCACAAGTGAAAACCGCCCCCTCTGCAAAGCCCCTACGCCAGGCCCCGCTGCTGAGGCCATGGCAAGCAAGTGGTTTGGGCTCCCATGTCGCGCTAGGGAGAGCCCATGTGACACCCAGCCTGGGGGGCAACTTGCTTTCCTCTCCCTGGGAATGGGCAGATCTGCCAACTGGGGCAAGGGGTGGGGCTGGGCCCTGGGACCTCCTCTCCTGCGAGGCGGGAGGGAATCGCAGGAGCAGCCCAGGGGGCTGCAGTTCTAGCTGGTCCTCGGACAGGAAGCACCCACATACACCCGGGAGGGGACAGCATGGCCCATAATGACTCCAGCACAGGAGAGTCCAGCGAGATAATGGAGAGACCAGCCCTGGGGAGGGGTCCCAGAGATCTCCTGGCCGGGGGAGCCCAAGGAAAACTTTCTGCTTGGTGAGGGTGCTGCTCTGGAAGAAGTGAGAGGTGCTGGCCAGCAGGGGGCAGCGTTGCAGCAGAGACTGAGTCAACAGCGCAGGTCCCAGGTTCATCCCTCCTGCCTCTGCCCCCAGGCAGCGCTCCCTCATTTTTTCCCATACACGTGTGGAATAAATTTTATTCCATGCACCGAGGCCTGTGCAGATGTGCACCACCAGTAGAAACACACGCTGCTGGTTGGGGCGCTCTGCTAATCAGCCGGGCGGCATTTGAATCTCTCCTGGGAGGCACCCAAGCTTACAGGGAACCCTGCCCCAGGAATCCACCTGTAAACGAAGTGTTGCTGCAGGCCACAGGCTGGACTGGCCAGAGCTCAGTGTGCCAGGCTGGGCAGGTGCTGAGCACTAGCTGGGTGAAGCCCCACCAGTTTCCCCGTGCCCCCGCCCATGATACGCCCCTGCAGCGCTCACACAGACGGAGCCACTCCCAGCGTCTGTCCCACGTCTCCATCATCGCCTGCCTCTTCTCCGTCAGCTGCTGCAGCTTCTCTTTGATCTGGAAGGGGAGAGAGGAGAGGAATGACGGAAGGGCCCCTGGACCGCGGGGTTTCCCATTCCCAGCTCCGGCGGGCCTCTCTCTCACTGGCCTTGCGCTCTGGGGTGAAGCTTGGCTCTGCCTCGTGCTGCTCCGGAGGGACCATGGGCGGGAAATCGCCATCAATTATCGCTTTATGGGGCCTTTGCAGGCTCTGAATGAGGGTTGACAGGCCTCCAAGGAGAGGTTGGGAAGTGGGGGGAGGGGCGCACTGTGGAAAGTTTGGACGCAAAGAAAAAAATTAATTTTTCATCTACGTTTTCCACAGAAAACACTGCGGTTTTGATGGAAAAACAAACCCCCTGGAAAAGCGGACGATTTCAATTCGGCAATGCTGCCCCGGTGCCTCATGGGAGTTGTAGTTTGGGTTCACCAGGCTCCCGTTTCCTTGGATGGGCTGGGCTCCCTTGCCAAACTCCCTCTCCCGTGAGGGACTGCAGTGGGAGGCAAGGCTGCAGTGCACCCTGGGAGAGGTAGTTAGGCAAGGGTGCCCTGTCCCAAGAGCACCAGCGGGCGAGATATGGCCCTAGGGCCAGATCTGACCCACCAAGCCACCGGGCCGCCCGATACAACTTGGGGGCCACCTGGCTGCTCCCTGTGGCACTCTACTCCGGGGGGAGATGGAGGCTTCCTGTGCTGTCCTGCCCTCAGCAAAATCTGTCAGCTCCCATTGGCCAGACTGGCTAATGGGAGCTGAGAGATTTTGCTAGGGGTGGGGGCAGTGTGTGGAGCTCCCCCTTCTCCTCCCTCCCCCGGTGCTCGGGGCAGACACCCACAGGGAGCAGCCAGCAGCTGCAGCAGGCAGGGAGCCTGCCTCAGGGTCCTGCAGGGCTGCTGGCTGGGAGCTGCCTAGATAAGTGCCTCTGGCACCCCTGCCCCTCCTGCATCCTCCTTCCCCTGCTCCTTCAGGTCACAACTCCCTCCCGGACCCTGCATCCCCTCTGACACTCCTCCCCTAGGCCAGAATCTTCTCTTGCACCCCCTGCCCCAGATCAGAACCCCTCCTTCACCCAAACACCCCTCCCTTCTGCACCGCAGTCCCCTACCCGAGCTCCCTTCTGCACCCAGCCTCTGTCCCAGACTCTGCAGCCCCTCCACAGAAAAGTGCGGCCCTTGACCACTAACCAAAATGGCCCCCCCCATAGAAAATTATTGCCCAGCCCTGCCCTAGAGACAAGTGTGAGGGGGAGGCACCGTGCGCCTCACCTCAGCGGCTGCTTGGTGCCTGCGCTGCAGCAGCTTCTGCCCCAGGTCCAGGCAGCTGGTGAAGCTTTTCTGCCGGGTCTCGATCTCGGACTTGATGTCCTGGTGGTATTTCATCAGCAGCTCCACGGACGACACGTCCCTGCGGAGAGGGAGGGTTGCCAAGCCCGGGCCGGCTGCTCAGCCTCTGACGAGAGTCAGGCGGGGCCACGGACGGCCCCATTGCTTTCTACTGGCCGTAAGGGCGAGCTACAGGGGGTGGGGTCAGAAAGGAGTGAGAAGGTGCATGGTCTTTGGAGAAGAGGCGGAGTGGGGCAGGGACTCAGGGAAGAGGTGGAAGGAGGCGGGGCCTCAGGGGAAGGGGCGGAGCAAGGGAAGGAGCTCAAGGGAAAGGGCGGGACCTCAGGAGAAGGGGCGGTGCAAGGGGAGGAGCTCGAGGGAAAGGGCGGGGCCTCAGGAGAAGGGGCGGAGCAAGGGGTGGAGCTCGAGGGAAAGGGCGGGGCCTCAGGGTAAGGGGCGGTGCAAGGGGAGGAGCTTGAGGGAAAGGGCAGGACCTCAGGAGAAGGGGTGGCTCAGGAGATGGGACCACACTTGGGGTTCGGGTGGCACCCCCCACTTTTAGGCAGCTTCTGCCACCTCTGGTGTCTGCTGAGGAAGTAAAGGCTGGGCCTAGAGATGACCCCAGGGCATGTGGGGAGCAGGCGAGGGGGGACGGGCCAGGGCCGCTCCCCCTCAGGGGTGTTTACCTTTCCCCCCCGCGTAGGCCGTCGGCAGCCGCGCGGCCACCTCCCGGAACTGCTGGACCTGGGGGGGGGAGGGAGCAGGTGAGCTCCGGGTTGCACGACTCTTGGGCCCCATTCTAGCAACTTCCTTGAGCTCTACCCTGGGGGCTCCCAGCCTGTCGGAGCCTCATGCTTACTGCCCAGGGGGCTGATCTCGGCGCACAGGGCTTCTGAAAGGCACCTGGGACCCGGCAGGCGCGGGCGGGCGAGGCTGGGCTGGTTGCACGACTCTTGGGCCCCATTCTAGCAACTTCCTTGAGCTCTACCCTGGGGGCTCCCAGCCTGTCGGAGCCTCATGCTTACTGCCCAGGGGGCTGATCTCGGCGCACAGGGCTTCTGAAAGGCACCTGGGACCCGGCAGGCGCGGGCGGGCGAGGCTGGGCTGGGGGCCGGCGGTGGCGCTGTGTGTGGATGGTGCCAGCTGCCTTGTTCCTGCAGATCGTCCCCGCCCGGTGCCCATCCTGCGCCCAGGGGCTTGAAAACGGGGCAGGGCTCCCTGAGGCGCAATGGGGCGGCGCAAGGCCTGGGGCCCTGAGGGAGGCCGACCGGGCGAGTTTGTCCCGGGAAGGTGGTGAGGTGACTCACTCCTGCTCCGCCGGGCTGGGGAGGACGTGCCGGCTGGGTTCTCAGACGTCCCTGCACCACCAGCCCCCTTCTGACAACAATTGCTGCCCGGCCCCAGGAGAGGGGGCGGTCGCCTGGGCCCACTGGAGCCCTGCTTCTCCGGGGGGGGGTGCAAGGAGGGGGGGGCCTGAGACCTGAACCTCACCGCCCCAGATCGGGAGGAGCTGAAGACCAAAGGCTTCAGGCCTGGGTCCCAGCCAGTCCAACGCCAGCCCTGGGGCCCCATTCAAACAGGGCTGTGCCCCAACCCCCGTGGGGGAGCCAGCGGCTGGGACGCTGGCCAGGAGATGGGGATGCTCCGCAGGGAACAGCAGGCCCGGGGCAGAGCGGGGTTCCCCCTCCGGGATATGGATCCAGGCCGGACAGCCTCCTGAAGCGGGTGGTCTGGGTTGGCCATGGGGCTCCCGGAGGGAAGCTCTGGGGTTGGTTTCCAGGCCGTCTGGCCCTGTAACGCACACATCACCTGCGAGCCAGGGTGTGAGACCCACATGTGCAGAGCACGGCCCCACGGCACGGCAAGGGCAGAGCGGGGTTCCCCCTCCGGGATATGGATCCAGGCCGGACAGCCTCCTGAAGCGGGTGGTCTGGGTTGGCCATGGGGCTCCCGGAGGGAAGCTCTGGGGTTGGTTTCCAGGCCGTCTGGCCCTGTAACGCACACATCACCTGCGAGCCAGGGTGTGAGACCCACATGTGCAGAGCACGGCCCCACGGCACGGCAAACACCGCCCCTCCCTGCCCCCCACTGGCCACACCCCAGCGCGCC